TTTAAAGATCCATGATAAATTCAAAGCGGAATATGCAATGTTTTTCATCACGGAATTCTGTTTTAGCGATTTGGCGGAGGCATCTGCAATAAAGCCACTTGGATACAAGGGTTTACTGACTGTTAGAGAAAAGCTACTATTAAGGAGATCGGACAATAAAAGAATTAGAATTAAGAAGACATAAGATAACGATTGATACTGCATTTAAATTTTTGAAGATCAAAGTTGAGTGGCAAGCAAGAAGCAAACGGCAATGTTTAATCGACGAGGTCCAATTCTGATTCATTAAAATCTCGGCCATATGTTGCAAGCATGATACTGAAGAATCTCACCGTCTTGGAATACGAGACAATGCCACACACATCATATTCCATTGCTCTCTCGCCAACTTACTACCACTTTTCAAGCATCTTGATATTTTTTTTTTAGTCAAAAGACATTTCGTTGAAAAGGAAGATGGAGAAACTGCATTCAAATATTCTTTGGCGTACAAAGTTTTCTCGGAAAGATACGACCGTACGGATAGCTCTTCAGGATTCTTATTTTGACTGAAGTAAGCACTGCTTAAATGTATTTATCCAGAAACAAAAGTTCGAAAATTGGACATTATTTTCCGAACAACCTAACATAAATTTGCATGTTATTTTATTATTATTTTTTAATTAATCGGTATCACTCGATGCAAAAGAGTAAGACACATAGGGTTACAGAGTCCGGAAAATTTACGAACAGAACCATTAATAATGAACAGGAAGAGAAAAAAGTAATCAGGGGGACAGTAGATAGCGATTGATATTACATTTAAATTTTTGACGAGTAAAGTTGGCTAGAAAGGATGGAGCCGGCGTGAAGTGTAAGAAAAGAAACTGTTACCATAGAGATTACGGCTACATCTATCCAGCTCAACTGTAAATTGATGGGACCTCAACGCCAGTCTAGTACTGCGCTTAAATTCAAAAAGTCCAGGTGCTATAGTGAAGAGCTCATCTGAACAATTACGATGAAAGTATTTATAAACAAGGCAGAGTGAGGCAATCTTACGGCGATGGGAAAGTGACTGAAGCCGAGCCGCCAGATCAGGACCAATAATATTGCTGATTCTTCTTTGGATTTTATCAAGAAGCTGAGGGTAAATAGCAGGGGCATCGAACCATATGTGACAGCAATATTCTAATCATGGACGAATGGTAGAATTATAGCTATGTAAGATAGATTCTGGGGAGAAAAAAGTTTTCTCGCACGACACAGGAAACCAACTTTCTCAGCAGCTGACCTAGAGATGCAATATAGCCTTTTCATTTCAGGTCAGCTGAGAATGTTAGCCAGAGTCGGCACAACGAGTCACTTTCCTGGGGGGTCAGCATCAGCCATACTGATGGAAGGCAGGCGGGGGGTCTCGCAGATGATTAATGGAGAGAAGTTTAGTTTTGGAGAAATATCTTGTAAATGTTAATGCCTTCAATACAAAATTTCTATCTTTTAATCATCACAGAAAGCTATTTTAGACTTCTAACAGGCTGATACTAACCCCAAAGAGAACGACTCATTGCGCCTTCTTGGTCTCATGTTTTCCACTGAGTTTAACTGGAGTGATTATATTGGATCAAATGCCATATCTGCTGCTAGGAAAGTTGGTTCGCTGTGTCGTGCCACATAATTATTCTCACCGGAATCCATGTTTCACATTTATAAATCTACCTTTCATCCGTGCATTGCATTTTACTGCCATATCAGGTTGCTATACCGGGTATAACAGCAAAATTGTCCAAATCGTGTAACGGCACGCGATAATTCACCATGCCACAAAAAAATTGAGATAAGACGGTCAGCCATCTTGACACCATTTGTCGTAAGAATCACTGAAAACCCTGTGAGCCATTCAGCTAGAAAGAGAACAGGTTAAAATCATTTTGTGTCAGCCCCACTAGGTCTTCCCAATTGAGCAATGGTGAGAGGAAAAAGATCATTCAGGCTTTCAGTAATGGTATCAACATTCATACTCTGGCTTCCATCTTCAAAGTCCACTCAAGAACCATCAAAAGAATGGTGAACAAGTTTAAAAAAAGAGGGAACACTAGAGAGAAGAATTGGATTAGGAGGTCACAACAGGAAGAGGGATCATCATTTCAACATAGGCCTAAATACATTCCAATTGATCAAAGTAGAGCCCATTAGTGTTATAAAAACCTCGGAGAATTCCATTAAGATATCGTTAATCATTTCTAAGATACAATGATTGAAAGCTTAATCTAACAATTGGACAATTTTGCTGTTACACCAGGTATATACAAATGTATACATCTATGTAAATAATTATAAAAATAATACAAATGTACACACAAATATAATGGTTACATATGTAATAGTATGGATGTATATAAGGGTACATATGATTTTTGTCACATTACTATATCTATCTAAATCTATATAATATATATATATATATATATATATATATATATATATATATATATTCAGCTAGAAGGAGGACAGGTCAAAATCATTTTATGTCAGCCCCGCTGTCTTCCCAAATAAGCAATGGTGAGAGGAAAAGAAACATTCAGGCCTTCAGTAATGGTACCAACATTCAACGTCTGGCTTCTGTCTTCAAAGCCCATTCCAAAACGGTGAATAATTTTAAAAAAAGATGGACGAGTTGAGAGGAAAACTGGCTCAGAAGGTCACAACAGGAAAAGGAGTCATCATTTCAACTTAGAGCTAAAGAGATCTATTAGAAAAGATCCAACTCAATCCATAAGACGTTTGGCACGTGAGTGAGGAGTTTCTCCTCTGACAGTCCAGAGAGCAGTGAAACAGAAGACTTGAAAATGAAATCGTAACTGAAACATGTGAGGCAACTTGTTACTCCAGGACAGAAAATTAGAAGGTTAGAGAGGGCGAAGATCATCTTGAATAAGTTGGAAAATGATCCTGAATTATATATATATATATATATATATATATGTGAAGAAATAAGATCTTAAGATATGCCATATTTATGGGACGCTAGATGCAATCGTCAGGCCACGATTCTAGCATGAAACAGACAGTCGCATCTAAGTGTTGACTTCAATGTTCACTTTTATATATATATATATATATATATATATATATATTTGAACTTTATCTCAAGTTTTCATGATCTTTCGATCCTTATCTATAAGTAATTAATGATGAACATGTCATTTTCTTTTATGGTCGATTTCATCAAGATTCTTCTGTTAATCTTGGGGAATAATTATACATTCTTATTTCTCAAAGTAGAGTCCAGTAGAGTTATAAAAACCTCAGAAAACTCCAGTAAGATATCTTTAATCATTTCTAAGATACAAAGGTTTAGGCAATTAATCTAACAACAAGCCGAAACGTTGTAATAAATATGGCGACAAAGATAAGGACAATAATCCGAAAAATGTAAATAATGTACATAATACCTCATCTCAGAAATATAGGCAGTCAATAAGATTATAATTATATAGAATGTCAGCATATGACAATAAGACTAGAACTTTATATCAATATATAGTTATTTGTGAATAAGATTATAATTATATGTCAATAAGTTGATAATTACATGAAATCGTCTAAGATGATTCTATATAATTAAAAATAATGTTATCCACATATAGCCATTTCTTTTTTTATTTACCAAGCTAAATTTTAATTTTAAATTTAATTATACCTTCAACAAGTCCATTTTGTTGAACCATGTCAGTAATTATGATGGTCATTGAATTACAAGGGCTATTGGAATTTTAATGAATACTACCAATAATTTTCCGTCCTGGGTATGAAGATAAACAACATCCACCTCCAGGGTATGACAATAAACTACATCCGCGTCCTGGGTAAGACGATAAACTACGTCCAGCAGCAAGGCCTCTGATCAGAGGTTTTAAAGAGTGTGGAACCACCTCTTAATTGCTGGTGTTCCCAGGTCTACACTGACCCGGGGTGGTAGCACTTGTTAGGGTCCCAGGTATGGGCAAAAGGTTAACACCCAAACTTGTGTAAGAATAGGTTTTAATACCAGAAATACTTTGTAATAAAAAAATTATTACCAGCAACAATTTTTGAAGGAAAAATTATTATCAGCAATACTTAAAAAAAAAATACCAGCAATACAAGCAGCTATATATAATTTTGAAAAAATATAACCAGCTATAGTTTTCATCAAGGAAAAATATTCCCAGAATTAGATTTTTGAAGAAAAACATTACCAGCAATAAAAATTTTGTCGGCATTAAATAATCATTTGAAGTTGATATGCCGTAAAACAAACCAAACCAAACCAATAATTTTGGCGATCAATAATTTTGGCGAAAACCAGACGATAGAAATACGAACAAAGGTTCGTATTTCTATCGTCTGGTTTTCTTCTATCCAAACCTAACTTGTGGGGCTTATTTTGGCCTATGGACATTCAGGTAGTTCAACATCGTTCGCGAGGGTAAAACTTTCTGCATGTTACGCTAAAATGTCCCAGGTCGGACGGAGTAATAATTCACCTCTAATGCTAAAACTTCCGGCGCGCCTTTTTCTCAATGTCTGATGTCGGGGGATTGTTTTCTTTTTTTTTTTTTTTTTTTCTTTCACCCCCTTGATCGTTGTGTATTTCACTGGTCCGCCAGACTTGCAAATGAAAAAAATCAAAATAAAAGACAAAAAGAAAAAAAAACCCCAAAAACGAAAGCTTGTAGGAATCAATTAAATTCTAAGAAAATTAAAGACACAGATGTGAATACGAAGAAGTGGGAAGAGACGAAATAATAAATGAATAAATAAATAAATAAATAAATAAATAAAAGAATGAGGCTGGCGAAGGTGGAGTAATTTTATTGATTCTAATTAGAATAAATTTCGGTTTGGAAATAGTGTGAAAATTGAAATCTTTTAAAAATGTCGATGGAAATGGAAATGAAAAATACGCACGTGTGAATCTTGTGTGCGCCCGTGTCTGTGATTAAACAGATAAAAATAAACTGAGAAAAAACACGAAC